ACCCAGATAGCACCAAACGTTCGAAAGACGTTCCCTTTAAGTGCAAATAAGGCCCAAACGTTCCGGAACATAAAATGAACGTTCAATGGGCGTCTTTATTTGCAAATCCCCGGAACGTACAGATCAAACGTCCACAGAACGTTCATAATAGGTACCCACGGCACTAGAGTAATTTTCATATTGCATTGGCATAGATATTGAAAAACCACCAAAACTATTACATTAATTAATTGATATGTTAAATAGGAGCATGTGTTAAGAAATTCGTTGATTAGACTAACAATGCACGTCACTCTTACATTCGCAATATGGCGGGAAACAAAACCGATCGGTGATTGGACCGACTCGGATCGAGCGCGCACATCGCAGTTCGCAGTTTCGCACTTGACAACTTGTGTTGATGATCTAAAAAAGGTGTCGTTAACCTAGCGTTTTTCAGTTTTTCGGGTAATTTGGAATTTTCGTGACCTATGCTGTGACTTTTGGTAAGTAAATCTTGTTTTTGCTCGTCATATTTTTGAGATTTTTTGTTGTGCATACTTATTTTTATCTCAGAGGGGAGAGATGACTTTTTGCTACTTTTTGTATCATATGACATAACCTCAACTTTATAATTGTTGTGTAATAAGTGAGGCGCAGCCTTCAAGTTTTGTTGGAATTATACTAAAAACTGTATCATGTAATACTGCAAATGGTAATGAACTTGAAGTCTGATCCTTTTTCGCAGTTTGTCGCCTGCTGTTGGCTTTATAGTCAGTTGTTTGAAATTTCCCCTTAAAGTGCTCCCTGTCGCACCTCTGACAAATTGCATTCATATTTTTCCTAGTAGGGAGGTGGCATTTCTCTAATTCAAATTATTAAGCCTCAAGCATGTGTCAGTTTTTAATGTATTACTGCGAGTACCTTTTATGGCACATAACTGGAGGAAAACTTAAATTGGTTTACATTTAAATTATCATTACACCCAAAAGCTTTAGCGTTCAGCTTGCGCCAAGCAAACTATTTTCCCTGGTTAAGTGATCAAATTGAACTACCTTTGTATAATATTGACTTACCCCACTATATTTTTTTCTAGAAGCTGCAGCGAGCTTATTCCAGAAGACTGAAAAAGAGGTTGAAAATGACATTTCCAAGTGGCTGCGGAAGTGCACAGACCGATCAAAAAAGCAAGAACTTAGAAATTAACATTTATCATTTACTACATATATATGTCATACTCATAAGAATGTTAAAAATAAATTTACACTTTTATTGTAAAGTATTTTTAAAGCACTTAAATAACGTTCCAATGAACGTTCAAAAATGTTCACTGAATGTCTTCAAGACAACCTAACGAACGTTCATGGAACGTTTTCTAAGAACGTTATGTGAACAACCAAATTTGTGCCATTTGGACAATGAAGGAACGTTCCAGGAACGTCCATAGTACATTCACGATATGTCTCCAGAACGTATCAATGCCCACCTGCAAATGTTCTGAGAACGTTCAAAGTACATGCTTGTGCTATCTGTGGGGGCCTCTGGCCCGAGGGATTGTAAGTCGACTCGTGAATTTTTGGCTCGAAAGTCAATTATATTCAGTGCGACCCCACTATCAGAATACTTTTCACTACAAGGTAAATTCATTGCAATTAACATTAATTAATTGGATTAGAAGTATAATATTTGCAAGTATACTATATAAATCTGTGTGTGGTCTGATATGAATAAATCAACAGATGGGGTCGTTGATCGCAGAGATGGACTTAATAACTTAGCTGAAAGGATAAATTAATTCCTTTTATTCTCTTCTTATAACGGACGCATATTTTAATCTTCTCACTTCAGGAATATTCCATATTTCATATGAATTGAAGTGTACCTATCAAAGAAAATTGCACTGGTTTCAGGTTGGTTTTAAAATGTTTACCACGTCTGACAGTAAGGTCAAAAAATGAGTTTCTTCCGCACGTTATCACTTCCCATTTATTGTATTTACTTCTAATGCCGCGCTTGGTCATTTATTGAGGGAAGTACCTAATGAATGTAGCAATTTTTTACATGCGGATGTTCAATTTTTATTTTTTTTAATAAGAAGCACATACCGATAAATTTCACAAAAATTAGTCCACAAATAAGAAATTGTACCATGCAGATACATACGCGAAAGCAGCTTTTTTGACATGAACATGTTTAATATAATCGATCGATTTGCTCTCATTAACAGGTCTTTCTGATGCTAAAATTTCAGTAAGATCGGTTCAGAAATAAAAAATTTACCTCTGCGCATTCGCCCGCAGTTTTTTACAAGTGGAGTTCAGCTCGTTCGGTTAATCGGTTCGCATCCCATACACTCTTAAACTGAAAGATAGCGGTAAGGGAGTGACTGAAAAGGTATGGAACTTCTAGTAGATAACGTTATACAAGAATTAAAATCCAGGAATAGTGGATAATGCTATTAAATGCCCACAGATAGTCAACTTCTACAGAAAAATTGGAAGAACCCTAAAGAGTGAAGGTATCATATAGATTCTGTATTACTTCAACCTCTAAAGAAGATAATTTGAAATGCGTTTATCAAAGACAACCGATTTATGTCGGTTTTATATTGTATGAGAAAGAGATAATCACATATGCAGACGAATTACTCTTCTTCACAGATTCTAAGTTTACAAATGTGAGTATCACTATTTCTACTGTGCAGTTAACTCTACCTAAATAGTAAATAATTAATCAATCGTCAATGTTCTAAATGATCCTTGCAAACCAAAAAATTGCTTTCCATGTTTATTTTCAACAGGTCTTTTTGATTCGTCTACATTCCATCTGGAATCGTCCAAGAAAAAATTACGACTGTCATTGTCGCACATCTTTCTAATCAAGGCAGCTTTGATATCTGATATTTTCCCTACTCTTCCTCCGTACTCTTCGGGTAATAATTCTTGCGGAATATACTTATATAGAGTCGTAGAATTCGGTTGATGAAAGTGTAACTGAAAAATAAAAATTAAACCAGGAGAAAATATAGCCATATACCTATTTAAGTGATTGTGTAAGCAACTTCTACATAGTGTCCCACGACGGCTATTTATATTTTGAAAAAAAATCGGAATATTTTAAAAATTTGGCAATATACAAATGTAATCAATTCATCTAAATATGTTCAACTGGTGACAGTTCCGGTCATTCTGAAAGTCAATTCCAACTTGCTTATTTTAAATGGAACACTCTGTATATTTTCATTTTTAGATGCTACGTAAAATTCTACAATCATTGCAAGTAATATCCTATACCTAAATTTGGGCCTTTTCGACATATTTTAGTTTTCATCTCGGAAATGACGTTTGGCGCCCAAACATAACTATATATACCTATATTTTGATTATAAATAAATAAAATTCAAAAACTATAACTAACTAGATTTTTTAAATCGAAACTGTGTCTTTAAGCAGAACAAATAAAGGTGACTTTGCATAAAATAGTAGTCTTGCCAACAATTTTCAGTTTTCAAGATATTCCCTATTTAATATTAAATAGGCTTTAAGAATTTATCTTAGTTTGCAATCTATTATAATATTAAATCTTATACCTACCATAGCAGATACTTCAGTTTTCATGAACGGTTTCACGATTGCCATTGCTTTATCTAGGAAAGGCGAGACGTTGACAACATGTATTTGCTTCAGTCGTACGGGATGAGCTTCCTTAAAGAAGAGATTCAGGTTGTTTTCATATTATTTATTGTTTTTTTTTATGTTAATGTGTACGCCTATATCTACATCGACAACCGTGCGAAACCCGGATATAATGATAAAAGGGTGTTAATCCAGTTAAATTGTATTTTTACCAGGAAAGTTGTGGGGTAGTTTTGCTTTCTTTGATTCTATATGTTTTTTGGGGTGCTGAATCCGAATCTGAGGTTTGCTAACAAAATTTCATGACGCAACATTGAAAAAAATACAAAAGAAGTTGAAAAAGATATTTTTTTGGCAGTGTTGTGCTTACAACTTGAAAACTATCAACTTTTCGAAAATAACCTTCCTATTCAAAATTAAAGTACATAAAATTTCAAAGAATCACGTACTACTCGGAGTGGGGTAACGCAATTACCCCCGCTTAAATTTGTCTGCTAACAACTGAACCCGATTTATTTCTTTTCTGTTTACATGTTAACCAGCGACAAAAAGCGAGTTCATGATTTTGGACTGTCCGTCCGTCCATCTGTGTAACTTTGTGAGGGTGTGTATGTATGTGAATGGGAGGAGGGTCTCCAGACTGCAAACGCAGGTACACGGTGACGTAATGGGCCTTGGCTCATCTGTGAAGGAGTGGGAGAGTTTTATACCAGACGGAACAGTTATAAAATCTTTTCAGGAGACCGGTAGACAATGAAAAGTAGGGATTTATATTTGCACAGAATAATAATAAAATAATAATAAAAGATAAGTATTTGCGGATACAGCTGAAATACCCCAATTTTCAACTGGCGCTCGAGCCCGAACGGTTCATCGAGGAAAAAAACTAAATAGTGGGGTCTGTAGGAAATTTTATGTACTCTCATTTTGAATAGGAAGGTTATTTTCGAATAGTTGATAGTTTTCAAGTTGTAAGCACAAAACTGCCAAAAAAATATCTTTTTCAACTTCTTTTGTGTTTTTTTCAATGTTGCGTCATGAAATTTTGTTGGCAAACCTCAGATTCGGATTCAGCACCCCAAAAAACATATAGAGTCAAAGAAATCAAAACTACCCCACAACTTTCCCGCTAGATGCCCGTTTTAGCACAAATGGCCTGTATTATGTTGCCCAATTCAACGATTAATGTTTATATACACTAAAGTGAACTCAGCACCCTTGCTAACTTTGTTTAATTGTGTTATTATTGCAGCTTCAAGGTTGGTTAAATTCGCAAGTATGAAACATCTTTTCTCATGATTATAACTTTATTTTCTTTCGAAATATGTTAAGGTAAAGTTAGCAATAGTGCCGACTTCACTTTAGACGCACCTTCATGCATCAAATATTCTGATACATGACGTTTTGCCAATGTCGTCCGAAGTGATACCATTGAACTGTTGCTACATAAATTGGCAATTTCTTGTAATAGGAGCGGTGGAAAGAAAGTTACTGGTTCTATAGTGACTCCCTTTCCTTAGTTAAAAGTACCTATAGTGAATATTCTGTATCCAGGTCCCATTTATGAACACATTGCGCGTGCAATTTTGGCGCCAAGCGATTCACATCAGTCGGCATCTTGTCAGGCGTACACATTTTACGATGAGCTGGATACATCATAGCCTGTATTGCTATTTACCTACCTGTGTATAAACCATATATTTCTTTAGTATTGGTAGTTGGACCTTGTACAAATGCTTTAATGTAAATCCACTCATATCAAATATAGGAATTTCACCATCCGGAAAGTCGTCACTAAAGTTTAATCGTAAATCAGCTACCGCCAGAAACGTTTTTAAGGCATCTGCAAAAATGTATTTCTCTGGATCTGAATCTGTTAAACGGTATATGAATATTTTATAATTTTCTCTGGTTAATTTCGGCAGCGGTACCATATCTCTACGAACATAAGACAATTGCTTGTACGAAAATCAAGAGAAACCAGTTTACTATATTTACTTACGTTATGTTGAGTATATTTTCAATAGCATCGCATGCTGGATCACGGTTTGAGAACAGTTCGGGCGCTTGTGATCTAACTGTGTAACATAAGTCTAGCAGATTCTTCGTTTTCTCTAAACTATAATTACAGCATCGCAAGAATCGCACTAAGAAACGATCATCTACAAAAAAAAGCACTAATCACATACCCATACTTATTTTCACTATACCATCAGCATAGAGTTAACAGAAATGGTTAATATAATTATTACACAATTATATACGATAAAATATTATGATACAAGTGTTATAAGCCGCAATGTTTTAAAGCACGACGACGTAGGGGGAAACCTCGAGTAACGAGCAGTTACAAAATTTTGTTTAAATGCTTTGAAAATTTTGTACAGTAGGTATGGGTTGCACCGACTAGTCCAATAGTGAAATAATATTACTTTACTACCTCCACGGAATTAATGTGTGTTGTTCTTTGATTTGGAAAAGCTATAATTCCACTCATGCAAATTTCTTTTTCTTTTAGATTTTGAGTAATATACTATTAAAAGAAAAGGTAATATATAGAACTGCTATGGATTCGGCTGCATTATTAAAAATAATTCCCGAAGTGATCACGCCTAATGTTACTTTCGCTTTATAACGATTTTGGCATAACCATAACGTAAAATCTTACTCTCTAATGCGCTAACATAATTTTGTACCTACTTAGATGGCAGAAGGTTCAAAAACTGAAAAATAAATAAAAATATAAATCAAGCAATTAATCTCCCCCCGCCCCCTCCTGAACCACCTTCGATAAATATATCGTATTACTTCAATGTTGTTGAAAATTAAATTACCAACTCAAGAACCGATGACTTGCAGACCGTACCGCATGCCAGTTACGGAGAGGAATATATTGCGAGGTACCTATTATCGAAGTACTATTGGTCAATGGAATCGTTAGAGTCGAATTTTTCCTACGCGAGTTCTGTGCTACTATAAAGCCTTGAGATTGTACTATTATACTTTATAGAATGTGCGTTGACTGTATTTAGACGCTTGAATGCGATCACCCTTGCGGACAAATACCCGTTGATAGACGAGCAACTGGATCGATTGGGAGGGAATGGAGATGGATGTAAATACACATATATTTTACGGCTCTCAACATGTTTTCTGGTTTTTGTCAAGTGCCGGTAGATGCTAACTCCGTAGACAAAACTGCGTTTGTAACACCAGAGCCGCATTATGAATTTTAAAACTGGTGTTAGATTTGCTTGTATTCCATTCCAAGTGCTTATGTATTAAATTTCATTTAAATGCTTCAGTAAATAAGGAAGTTGGCATTGCGCATGCGCAAAACAACATTTTGAAAATGTCGTTAATTTTACTTATGGCCGTTTGCACCGACAAATTTAAGCGGAGCTTAGTTTAAGCATAATGTTCATAATGGTACCACTGGAAAGAAGATTTTTTTCTCATCTATAACTAAATGCGAATTATAGTTAAGTTTTATTTGTATTTTCTCATTATTTTATCAAAAATTCGCAAAATAAAATGAAGTCAGAAAATCGTAAAATTTAAGCATCCGGAATTGTCAAATTGAAAAACTATCTGTCGAATTGTCGATATTGATGGAACAGAGGTTTCATCACAGAGTTGTATATAAGTACAAATCTGTGGGTTTCATTAAATTCCACGGAAAATAAATCTCGGACTCTATTACCGCCGTAAACGTTTTTTACAATAAACACTTTTTCCTCAATGGAATACATCGTAAGTTTTGTAGACTGTAGTAAGTACAAATTAAATTATTGACAGTTATCGTACCTTGTTTTCATGACTACCGTGATTTTTTAAACCAAGTACACATTTTGACTAGGTACCTAATTCCGCAAAATAATAATTAAACATGTAACTATATAAGACGTTAACAATTTGCATATCATAAAACGCAGAAAAAAATCTTCTTTCCAATGGTGGTATTATGAACTCTCTAAGTTAATTTGGGGAGCAACAATCTGCGAAAAACAGTTTTCCCATGTTAATTCCCTATGTTCGGTTTGAAAGTATTCACCCGATATAAAGTTTCATTTAAATATCTTCATAAATAAAAAAGTTAGCATCGTATACATGCGTTAAACCAAATTTTTGACACTGCGCATACGCAAAACCAAAAAATATGGGTATGCACGGAATCCTTGAACCAAGCCCTTTCAAATGAGACCTATCGCCAAAATCGGTTCAGTGGTTTAGAAGGAGTACAGTACGTGTGATGAGGGACAGAAGGACGGACATCAAAGTGTAGCAAATAGCGATTGTTTCACTTTAAGGAAAACACGGTAACAAAAAAGTACAGAAAGTTCCAATTCTGTTAGGTACAAGTTTGACGACAATGGGGGTTTACAGTATAGTTGAATTCCGCTGTTCTAATTTAATAAGCGTGTACCTGAAACCATAAAACATTTTTTTGGACAGTAAAAGTTTATTTAAAAATAGAGGCTGATTAGCAAAAAAATAATGAACATGTGCGGTTTTAAAGGTTTATTCAAAACGATATGATTGTGGCGGGCTCTGTGACGTAATAAGCCCGACCAATCAGCTCCTAGAACCATTCAGATGAATAACGACTTGGCAATATTGCAGGAGAATGGCATTTATAACTTGCGTCATCTGTCACAGGCACTTGTCACTTTCGTGCTAGATGCAGTTAAACATCCCTCTCAAAACGTCAAATGTGACAAACGTCAGACCCTCGCGTAAGGTTGCCAGCTCACTTCTACGTGATTGGTTGTAGGTTTGTGACGTATTTAGTCTGAAGCGTTTCAAATTCGGACTAAAAACACAGCTTTTCAATAATTTATTTTGGGTTTATTTTACTCGCAAATAAAAAGTGAGGACACACGGGTCTTTTTAGCGCATTTCCACAAAAATAAAAAAAAAATGCGCTATTGTGGCCACTTTGTCCGTCCGTCCGTCCGCTAACTTTGCGACGCTACTAGTTTTTCATCTTAAGAGCTATTGTTCTACTTTTTTCGCTATTTGGTTCGTTATGGTGTCGAGTCTTGTACCAAGGAAGGAATTTTTTCTGTACCGCTTACAAAAAAAGTTATTGTAAAAAAAACAAAAAAACCGTTTTTTACATGTTCCATAATTTTACACTTTTGCCGTTTATTAACGATCCTAGAGATCGTTTATAATTTTGCATTGCTTTCTGTCGCCTGCCGGTTGGTCTCTCCGTCTGTTCCTTTGTCTGTCTGTCCATCTATCTGTCCGTGTGAACGATAACTTTGTTTAGAAATGTTCGATCGCTTTTACATCTCCGTTAGTTATGAACTGAATTGCATGAAATTCAATATGGGCATAGCTTTAGCCATATAATACGCAATGCCAACAGTTGAATCGAATCGATTCAAAATTCACAGTGCCCTTTTCGCATCTCGACCATTTATAAACCGAATTGCAAACTTTTTTACTTATAAAAGTTTTTGAATGAAATTTGATACATAGGCACTTGGGATAAAGGAAAATCAAACGCCAGTTTCAAAATTTGGTTTTGCGCATGCGCAGTGCCAACTTTTTTATTTATGGAAGAATTTAAACGAAATTTTGATACATAGGCACTTCAAATAAAGGAAAATCAAACGCCAATTTCAAAATTTGGTTTTGCGCATGCGCAGTGCCAACTTTTTATTTATGGAAGAATTTAAACGAAATTTTATACATAGGCACTTGGGATAAAGGAAAATCAAACGC